CTGGCCCTGAACAGCCCCCTCTCCGGGGCTCCTAACACCCTACAGTGTCACTGTCTGCCCAGACCAGAGAACCTCAAGGGCAGGGATGTAATCTTGTTCAGCTGTGCCCCTTGCCTAGCACAATGCTGAGCCAGAGCAGGCTGGGGGAGGGGTATGCAGCAATCCCTCTGGCCCTGGCCTTGGAGAGAATTCATGTTGTCACACTTCCCTTTAACAAGTCATCACTGGGGACACAGCAGGGACCAGGATGACCCAGTTTCTGGCTTGAGCAGCTTGTTTCCCATTGGATGGAGAACCCAACAATGACAGCCCAGTGTGATCAGATCGGGACACACAGTGCTGTAAGAGCCCAGAGGAGTGTGAAGGACCTTTAAATGAGACTGGAAGGCTTCCTAGAGGAGGAGGCATTTGAGTTGAGGCCCAAAAGATGACTAGAAATATCAGTGCAAAAGTGTTCCAGGCAGAGAGTACAGCCTGACAGAGATCTGAAGCTCTAGTTCTCGGGGAGCAGGGCAAGGGAACAGATATGCATGGGGTGGGCTGCTGGGCCACTAGTGGCTCTAAAGGCGGGACATTGAGGCTTGGGAGGGGAAGGGTATACATGCTGACAGCAGGTGGAATGTCACCTGTTTTCTGTCTTATGGGGAATTCATTGCATTTGGGTTGGGTTTGAAGGTTTTTTTTTGGAAACCCAAGAGTGGGTAAGGCCCAAATGCCTGAGTCAGCCCAGGATGGAAGGAGAGGGCAGGTGAAGACAGTAAGGTGAAGCTGTACCAGGACTTCAATGTCCATTTGGTGTCTGGTGTGTTCCAAGGGCTGGGCTTTCTCCATTTGTCCCTCACTGTAATTAACCAACTTACATGTCCTGAAAAATTCCCAGTTCTACCATCTAAGCTCAAATGCTGGCTCTGCCACTTACTAGCTGTGTGACCTTCTCATTCCTTTGTTGGCTCACCTGTAGACTAGGACAAACATAAAACCTGTCTCATGGGGATGTCATAAGGACGAAAGGAATTACAGCATTGAAAGCAGTTCGATGGTATCTGACCCGAGCAAGTACACAGTATTAGCTGCTATTATTACTTGATATGGTTTTCCTTTTAACTTTTTCAAGTATTTACACATCACATAATGGTTGTTATGTGACAAGCCTTATATTTATCCTTTGAAAATAAGGATGAGTAAGACGTAGTCCTCCTAGGGGTATAAAAACTTTCAGAAGAGGCAGAAATGAACATTGGTCAAGTGTGCCCCATGCCAGGGACCCAGAAATACAGGAGAGCTGGTTTCTGTCCTCAGGGAGGTCACAGGCTAGCTAGGGAGAGAGGGAAGTGGTCCAGATCAGGTGGTGGCTGAGAGACGCCTTTAGAATCTCTGAAGAAGGGACTTGAGAGTCAAGGAGCTGCTGGATGTGGCAATAGGATATACATGTGATCGTATGAGAAAAGACCCCCTTTGGAGGGGAGGTCAAGGAATGCCTGGGCTCAGTCTTTATTCTTTTGAGTGCTGGGAAGTCATCAGGGGTTTTTGAAAAGGGAATTATGTTTGAGTAATAGCAACATAACTAATAGGTATTATGCACCTACTGTATACTGCATGCTGTGTGTATATAATCTCATCTAATATAATCCTCACAACCCTGTAAGGTTGTCATCATTCCCATTTTACAGATGATAAAACTGAGCCACAAAGGTTGAGTTGCCCAAGGTCACATAGCTAGGAAGGGAAGGAACAGGCTTAAACCCAGACAGTCTAACCCAGGATCCACACTCTTAATCTCTCTACCTTGCTGCCTCTGACCGTCATTCCACACAATAATTACATTAATCTTAAAATTAGAATGAACATGGAAATTCCCATCTCCCCCATTTCACAGATGAGAAACTGAGGCTCAGAGATGGGAACTGACTTTCCTAAGACCACAGAGTGAAGGAGGTAGAGTTGAGTTGGAGAGGTCAGTCTGGGCTCCATCAGCTCGGGCAACCTGCCATCACAGTGGGAATACTGCCATTACAGCAGGCATCATGCTTGGAACCAAATCCAAAATCTAAGCCCTCATGCCAGCAGGGCCTGCCCATTCATACCCTCTGACCTCACCTGGTGCACCCACCTTCTCCTCATCACCAGGCTCCAGTCTACCTTGAGGTCTCCGTTTCACTGTTCCCTCTGCCAGGAATGCCCTTCCAACCTGATCTCCCTGTGCACTCTGTCTTTGTCCACTTGGGCTGCCATAACAAAATAGCATAGACTGGTTGCTTAAAACTAACAGAAATTTAATTCTCAAAGTCCTGGAGGCTGGGAAGTCCAAGATGAAGGAACTGAAAGATCAAGATATCAGCAGATTTGGTGTCTGGTGACAGCCCACTTCCTGGTTCATAGACGTCTGTCTTTTTACTGTGTCATCACATGGCAGAATGGGCCAGAGATCTCTCTGGGCCACTCGTATAAGAGTACTAATCCCATTCATGTCTTTCTTGCCTCACAAAGGCCCTCCAAATATCCTCACACTGGGGATTAGGTTTCGGCATATGAATTCTGGGAGGACACAAACACTCAATCCATAGCAGGCTCCTTCTTGCCACTCAGTGAAATGTCACCTCCTCAGAGGGGCCTTCCTTGATCACCTCTAAAGTTACCTCCCATCACCCCACATCACCCTGTTTAATTTTTTCCTGAAATTGTTTGTGTGTCTTTGCTTTTGTGTCTGTTTCTCCCAACTAAGACATAAACTGCTGGAGAGTAAAGAGGGACCTCATCTATTTCTACACTGTATCTCTAGGTCTCAGAATATGCTGGGCACATAGTAGGTGCGCTATAAATTTTTGTTGTAAGCATGTCCACATCTCATTGTCTGTCTATTGAGAGTCTGTCTCCCCTCTAGGCAGGGACTTCACGGAGGCTGGTACCATGTCTGATTCACCTTGACACTCCCAGGCACAGGGCAGGGCTGCAGTGCGCTTGCTGGATAACTGAATGGACAAAAGACAGAGGAGGTAAGCAGGAGCGCCTGCTGGGGTCTCTGGGGTCTGGGCCTCTCTCCTGTGGGGTGGCACACCATTGAGGGGCTGCCCCTTGCGGTAGGTAAAAAGGCTGATGAGACAGAGAGTGGCTTCCAGGCCTGGGATTAACAGCTTCTGAAGCCCATTCTTCTGGTCCTCTGCCATGGAAGTGAGGCGGCAAGAGGGAAGGGAAGGGTGGACCTACACTGTGCCTAGCACCTGCCGATCTGTTTCTTAGTGGGCAATGCCCTCAAACCTCATTGCCCAAAGGCTGCGCCCATTAGGCCTCTTACTAGAAGGTGGCTAAAATCTAGTTCCTGTCAGCTGTCTGCAACCTGCACCCTGGCATGGTTGAGGTGGGGCTGCGACCTTCCAGAGGGGCCTTCTCATTCTAGCAGAGGCCTGCATTATGTGTCACCTATCTGCAGGGATGATGCAGGGACCCCACCCTTCTCCATCACAGCAAGGACTACGGATATTGTCCCTGCAGGCTCCTGATTGCGTGCCGCTCTGCCTGGGCCCATGGAGAGTTCAGAGTGAGGATGAATGCATGAAGTCTGTGCTCCAAGCCCAGCCACTTGCCTCACAGCCTTGGTTATGGCCACATGAGCGTGTACCATGCACAGATGCACATTAACCAGCTACATGGACATTTAATATTTGCGCCGGAGCTGATGAAGGGTGCAGAAGACCAGTCCCGCTCACTCAGCTTCTCCCTGATGATGCACACCCTGGTACTCCCACCCGCCCCCACCCTGCTACATGTACACACTGCAAGGCCTCTGCACTCGGGAGCATCATCTCCTCTCTTGCCCAGTTTCGCTCCTAGGCATCCCTCGGCCACCCATCGGCCTGTCGCCTCTTCCCTAGGACCATCTGCTGCCTCGGGGGTAAGGGGCACCGCCTGGCTCATCCCAGAGCCTGAAGCGCCCAGCCCGCGGGCGCCCGGAATGCGTGAGGGAGGAGCGACCCGGCAGTAGGCGGAGAGACGGCGGCACGCGGAGGAGCGTGGGCGGAGGCGGCAGCGAGGGGGCGCGCGCCGGCGGCGGCCGCCCAGGGCCGGGGCCGCGCGCCCAGCCTGAGCCCGCCCCGCCGCCGAGCGTCACGAAACCTGCTTGAAATGCAGCCGAGGAGCCGGGGCGGGCGGCAGCGGCGGCGGCGGCGGCAGCGGCAGCCCCGGCGCCGCGGCGAGAGCTCAGCGGGCTGAGACGCGGCGGTGGCAGCTGCAGGGGGCGCGGGCGCGGCGGCCGGAGCCCGAGCCGCCATGGGCCGCCCCGAGCGGGACGCGCTCTGGCCGCTGGCGCTGCTGTTCCTCCTGCTGCGGCTCCAGCATCTCACGGCGGCGGAACCCCTGCGCGGTGGCCAAGGTGCGGAGGCCGGTCCCGGCGCAGCTCTGGGGCTGCTCTGCCAACAAAGCGCGGTCAGCGGCACGGGGCGGGTGGAGCCGGGGCCTGGCCGTGGCGCCCGGGTAGGGTAGGCTACTCGGGACCCGGCTCCCTGAATTTGCCCTCGACCCCCACCCCGCAGCTGTGCTGTGGGCTCTGCGCCCGCACCTGCTCCCGGGGGATGGGCGCAGCGGGGGCCTGGCCGGCCGGGAACTTTGCAGGGGGTGGTCATTGGTGGTTTCGGATGGCCTATGTGATTCTCGCTGCTGGGGTTTATTTGATACGCGCGCTCCACGGCGGCGGTGAGCGGAGCCCAGAGACTTCACCCCCCTGACAATGCGTTTGCGTCGAGCCCTGCGCGCCGCGGAGAAAAGGGGCTGCGTACCGGAGGGATGCGTCCGCGGCGCCCAGTGCGTGTGCCGCCGCCTGCTTGGGGCTGTGTCTGCGTGGGTCTCTGTGGGCGTGTATACGGGCGAGTGCCCTGAATGGGGGGTATACCTAAGTCGGGTGCCACCGACCGTGTGTGCCTGGCCTGGTCGTACCACGGATCAGCCCGTCATCCCAGAACCCTTACCATCCTGCCCTCGTGGATAGAGGGTGCCCGAGGCTTCTGGGGCCGTCACCCTGAATGGGGGGTATACCTAAGTCGGGTGCCACCGACCGTGTGTGCCTGGCCTGGTCGTACCACGGATCAGCCCGTCATCCCAGAACCCTTACCATCCTGCCCTCGTGGATAGAGGGTGCCCGAGGCTTCTGGGGCCGTCACCTCTAGCGTCGCTGTCTTTTCTTCACCCCAGTAGACCCCTCCCCGCGGCCAGAACTGCATGGTCCGCAGGTCCGGCTCACGCCTTCTCTTCCCAACGTAGGGCGGGTCAAGGAGTGCGAAGAGGACCAGTTCCGGTGCCGGAACGAACGCTGCATCCCCTCCGTATGGAGATGCGACGAGGACGACGACTGTTCGGACAACAGCGACGAGGACGATTGCCGTGAGTGGCCGACCCGCGAGGGGGGGAACGGTGGGGGGTCGCCTTGCTTAGCTCGTGGCTGCATCCGCTGCCGGGCCACCTGCGTATACCTCTCCGCGGGAGCCTGCAGCCTGGAAGCCTCCAGGACACCGCCTCCCTGGGGCTTGGGTGGTTCTTAAGGAACCGGCGGAAGCTGGGCGGCCGCGTGTCTTAACGGCGCTGGGGGCGGAGCCCGGAGCGGCGTGGCCTGAGGAAGGGGGCACCACGCCTGGGCGCGGGCACGCACCAAGCCTCCTGCGGTTTGAGCCTCCGGATTCCTCCCCCGACACCACAGAACGCGCGCGGGTTTCAGGGTTCCACGCAATTCTAGGCCTCGCTGCCTTCCTTTTCCTGCTGGTTTTTGTGAATGAATGGGCTCCTTGGGGTCCCTGATTGGCTGGGCCAGGACCACCCCATAGGTCCCCGTGGCCGGAGCGGCCAATCCTGGAGCGGGCAGTTTTCTGGGGCCAGGGCAGGTGGCCCTTCCTTGGCCCCGCCCTGGCCTCACCCCTGCTCGCATCCCCCTGGTAGTAAGCGCAGGCAGGGCTGGGGCTCCCGCGGCTTTTCTGCCTAGTCATGGTGAGACCTTTTTTGTGCCACTTCGGTTATGCCCCTTCGGTTATCCCACCGCGTTCTCCTGCCAGCCCGGCTCGGCATGAGTCATGGGGCAGACCAGGAAGGAGGAGGCCAGAAGGAAGAGTTTGTTTCCTGGAAGAGATCCGAGGCCGCGCGTTAACCCCGCAGCCACTTTGGCGGAGTGTGGTGTTTGTACACCTGGGTGCGATCGCTTTGGAAGTTCTTTCTCGTGATGCGCTTAGTTTAAGATGTCTGTGAGAAAGGAAGCGTGGGCAGTTGCCACGGTGGAACGAGTGTAGTTTCCAGGAACAGAAAAACAACGCTTTTTATAGATGCATTCATTCATTGTTGCTGAGGGCCTGCTGTGTTGGGAGAACACCCCGCAGGCCAGGTCTCAGGGTCTGCGGGAGGAGGGCGACAAGTGGACAGAGCCCACAGCTCCACACAGTGGCGGGAGGGCTAGAACACCTGGACAGGCATTGTGGCTTTTTTCTGGGTTTGCCAGTCAGCCTCTGGGTTCATTTCCAGACCCAACCTAGACCTGGCTCTGTGACTTGGGCTCATCTTTCCCTCCTGCCTCAGTTTCCTTCTCTTGCCCACTTGGGCTAATGATTCCTATGCTGGTTTTGAGGACCAGTCCTAGAACTGTAACTGGAGGTAATGAGACCAACAGGTGCTGACTGGTAGCTTTGTGCCAAGCACTGATCAGTGCTTACCTTACATAAACTCTAATTTTCGGAGTGGTCCTATTTTACAGATTTGAAAAACTGAGACACTAGGAGATGAAGTATTTGCCTAACAACTGGTGAGCTAAGTAGGAGCTTGAATTTACGCATCTGACTCCACAGTTCTTAGCCTAATTATGACCCTGACCATTTTCCAGTGCTGTTGAAATTAGGAAAATGGCTGTGCCAGGGTGACATATGATGACAGATCTCATCCCTGGGAGTCATTCTGTGGTCCACTTCCAGTGGGAGTGCTGACAGTGAGGCAGGGGAATAGCAGCTGTGCATTTCTGGGCTGGTTTTGCCTTACCTCTCTGGCTCTTTCATAGTAACAGTCTTGTGAGGGTGGCTGTGAAGAGCAGAAGTTTTTCTTGTCATCCCCATTTGTGGATAAGGATGCTGGCCCAGGGAAGTCGAGTGATTTGCCCAAGGTCATAGAGCTGAGAGTGACAGACCTTGGTCAGGATGTACGCCTGCCCCCTAGCTTAGGGGTGCTGTCTGCTGTGGCGGGGAGTGTGGTGCAGAAGGACTGGGCGGGTGGTCTGGGGGCTGGACAGCTGCGCTCTGAGTGTTGGGCCTGCCACCTTGCCTCTCCTTTGGGCAAGATGGAGGATGAGGTGGTGGGGTGGCTCCAAAGGGACAGGGCACTCCGATGACCAGTCTTGTCTCCTGCCTTGTTCTTGGATGAGTGGGATGGAGCCACAGGAAGACAGTAAATGAGATGCAAGTGATGTTGATGGCTTGGAGTGGAAAGGGTGGGGACCATGCTGTCAGTACCAAACATCAATCCCATGGGGCTTGATTTTGAGTTTGTTTCCTCATCACAGACAAACAGGCATAGCTGTTCCTCTAACATAGGTTATACTTGCAGAAAGTCTTCACACAGGGCTGTGGAAGTCAAGGGAATGGATGAGTGTTCACACCCTCCAAGGTATTTGGGAAGAGACTCCTAGGAGCCACAAAGAGAAATCTTGGAGGAGGAGGGGCTTTGGGTAACTGTGTTAGGCCAGGTGTTTATAAAATGGTCTTCCCTCCCCTTCCTTTCCCACCTGGGGAGTTCCCCCCATTCTGGGCCATCTGCCCAAACTGCATTTCTTGAACTGTCCTCCCCTCAAGTCTACTGGCTTTTTCAGGAGCAGCCTCCCTGCCTTCTATCTGACCCCCTCCTTCGGTGCTCCAACCCTTCCACCCCATGAGGGGGCCCTGAGCTACCCTACTTCTGTACCTCTCTAAGCCTGCAAGATGGGCATTGCAGTTTTAAGTGGAGTCTATGTGAAGCCTCCAAAAGGCCATGAATACTGAGAACTGTTGGAGCTGGAGGGAGGGAGTTTATATGTTGACAAAGCCAAGGAGGGCTTCCTGGAGGAGGAAACAGATAAGCTAGGCCTTGAAAGATGTTAACTAATACTATTCCCTCAAGGCATACCACCATTTAAAAATGGGCAGCACAGTCCTTATATTATAGAGAAGGGAATTGAGGTTCAGAGAGATGAAGTGACAAAAGTCACAAGCTCTGCAGGGTTGGAACCAGAACTCTTAAGGCCCTCTAATCCTGGTCCAGCTCCACAGCAGATGGGACTTGGCCCTTTGGAGACAAGGCTAGAGCTGGTGGGAGGGGAAGGGAAAGGCTCATGGGGCTTCAGTTCCTAGCTCAAAGGGCCTTCAAAGTGGAGGAAAGGGCTGGAAGCCAAAGGGCCAGGCCAAAGGAAGCCCAGGGCAGCCCAGCCAGGCAAAGCAGGGTGGGATCCCTGCCTGTGGACCTGGGTCACGTAGGCCAGCTGGTCCCCTGGCCTTAGTTTCCTGTTGCTCCTTAGTGTCTGGGGGCAGAGATGGGGGAGGGGGAGGTCTGGTGTCTGGCTGAACCTTTGCTCCCAGAGTAACAATAGCTGACCATTTGCGGTGGACCAGGCATTGTGCTGAAATTTTATGTGCCCCCCTCATGCCCCTCAGTTTGGAGTACCTGCTTATCCCCATTTTACAAAGGCACAGAGGACTTTATGATTTTTAAGAGAAATTGCTGGAATGTGAATGCAGGCACCCAACTGTGGAAACTGCTAGCTCAGGCACTAGATGATTACCTTAGGCAAGTTCTCCCAGACCTCTGTTTGCTTATCTTGAGATGACAAGGTTTTCCCCCAATCCCCTTCAAACCACCTGCCCCATTCCCTGTCACCCCCAGTTCCGAGAAGAACTCCATGCTTCTCTTTGTGGGTGAGTTCGGTATACAGGTGGACCAGTTTTGTGCTCAGATGTCTCTACCTTGCTCAGGCTCCATTAGGCTGTCCTTGTTCTCCCAGCCCCCATCACCTCTCCATCCCAGGTTTAATAAAGAGTGGCCGCAGGGAAGTCTTCCATGGCTGAGAGTTCATTAGCTGGGCCCAGGCTGCAGAAGCACCGAGGCTTGCTGGGAAGCAGGCTTGTAAATAATTGAAGCTTGGCCATAGCTCCCAGCTGGGGCTGCAGCCCACATCTGGCCTGCAGTGTGCCGCCTGGTCTTGGCCCCCTTCTCATGCCACTGACACCAGGCCCAGCTTCATCTCCTTTTTGAAAGGAATCATCTGACAGACAGTGCTGCTCCTCCCTAAATCTCAGTTTCCTCATGTGACCAGGCAACTCCACCTTTCAGAGTCTTCCTGAGGCTCCCACCTACCCATGAGATAAAATCAGCTTAGACTTGTCAGCATTTGGCTCTCTGTGACCAGCCCATTGCCCACTCCCCTCCAGCCTTTTTCTGTGACCTTATGACACTGAACTCATTCTGGCCTTCCTATTACTTTTCACTTCCAGGCCTTTGCATGTCATTGCTTCTGCCTGGAACAGTCTGTGCTTCCCCACCTGACTACTTTCTTATTGTCACTGTGAAGCTTCTGTGCAGGTGTCACCTCCTCCAGGAAGCGCTCCCTGGTACTCTTTCTCCCCAAGGCTGAGAAATCGAAGTTGAGAGGGTGACTTAGGGACCTGTGTTGAAATCACAGCTCACTGGGTCCCTGAATCAGACACACACTTGGTTTTCTATCCTAAGCATGACCTCTGGCCGATTGGCCTTGGAGCCAATAATAGTTTTTCCTTTCCAGAGATATTGTGCCTGGCAAACAGCAGGTGTTCAGTGAATGGCAAATGAGTTTGATCTTGAAGAGGAGTTTGAGAATCTCTGCAGGTCACCCAAGAACCCCCCTCTTCCCCTGCCCCCATTGGCTTAGCCAGATGTCTGAAGGCTCCTGCAACTGGGGTTGCCCCAGACAGTGGTTTGCCCAGCCTCTGTTGCAGTGGTTCCAAGGCCTTTCAAATGGACCTGGAAGTGGCAGAACGTTGCCAGGGCTGAGGGAAGAAATGAGTCAAACAGGCTTTGATGGTCTCAGTGAATGAATGGCCAGGGAGAGGCTGAGGATGGCTTCCCTCAGGCCCCGTGCTTGTCCCAATGCTGTTTTCTGGGTCTGGTCTATGCTGCTTTCCTCCTGGCTGTGCCTGGGAAGGGCAGGAAAGCCTATAGCCCCATGGCTTTGCCCAGCAGGCCCCAAGCTTCCCTCTCGTTTAGGCTCAGGGCTGGGCCCAGCAGGCCTTGGGAATGTTTGCTGTAGACTCTCCTATGGGCCTTCCCACACGCCCTCCTGGGGCAGAGTTCCCCTCCAAGAACCCTGGCTTTCTCAGGCCTCCTGGGGGTCCTTAGTGCAATAGGCCTCA